CGAACGATGCCAAGACAGAGGCTATCATTTTCAGCCCTAAGACTTCTCAAAGTCCCCAACTGACCCTTCCTTTTATCACAAGTGGGTTGAAAACCTGTGTCACAAACTTAGGGGTTGTGATGGATGCTAAGCTAAAAATGGACATTCATGTCAACCAGGTAGTTAAGACCTGTTTTTACCACCTGAGGCGTCTCTCTAAAGTTAAGCCCATTTTAAAAAGGTGTCATCTCCATTCAGTTGTCCATGCCTTCATTACTTCCCGTCTCGACTACTCTAATTCAGTGCTATATGGTATCTCCTCCTCCACTCTCGCTAGAACGCAACAGCTCGATTCTTGACTGGCACCAGGCAACGAGAACACATCACACCGGTTTTAGCAAATCTCCATTGGTTCCACATCCATCTCCGGATAGGGTTTAAAATCCTTGTTTTTGTGTTTAAATCCCTCAATATCTTAGCACCTGGCTACTTGTCTGAGCTCATTCACCCTTATGTCCCTACGAGATCCCTCCGATCAGCACCTCCTACATGCCCCTAGCTACCGCTGTAAATCCCGCGGGGAGCGCGCCTTTTTCAGTTTGTGCACCGAAGCTCTGGAACCACTTGCCCCTCCTGATCAGACTCTCTTCCTCTCTTTCCCTTTTTAAGTCTCGTTTAAAATCTCACTTTTATTCGTTGGCTTTTAATTTAGTCTAACTTATTCTCTTTCTCCTTTTCTTTTTGATTTGAATTACTCAATTTTAATGGATTTAGTTTTTATTTTTGATTGTTTTTATTGCATGTTTTTGTTCAGCACTTTGGTCGGCTCTCATGCCGTGTTTAAATGGGCTATACAAATAAACTTGGTATGGTATGATATGGTAGGGTTGGCCCCATCTTCTTACTCTGGCTCCTCGCAGTTGCTCTTTTGAAGTTCACTATGGCTTAGCACGCAGCTGCTGGTCACACCGTTTGATCATTAGATTCATAGAGCTTTAACTGTCATTAGCTTCATAGCTAATCCTTCAGAACTGAGTTCTTCAGAAAATCAATATACCTATGGCCATTAAATTATCTAATTTCTCAAATGAACACTATTTTTAAACACCACCATCTTGAGTGGCTTCCTAAATGTACATGCAATGCTTTTGTGCTCCTTGCGAGTTTTAGCCCGAGCTCTGTTAGCACAGCTCTGATGAAAAGGGACTTAGGCAACCGATTTCATCTTTTACAATGCCATGCCCCTTCATATAATTCGTGCATGTGCACAGACACGCAAACTAATGTTATTTTATTGGCAGTTAGTCAGAGGCTGGTCAGGTGGATTTTGGAGTGCCACAAAGCAGCTGTTTGGGCCCTCTTCTGTTTAAAAGTTTTATCAATGATTTACCATTGGTTTTAAAACATGCAACCATGGCTATATATGCAGATGACACTACATTATTTTCATCTGCACAAACAAAAGGCAAACTGAATGACATTTTAAAAAAGGAGTTGGCCTTAGTCAGACAATAGATACAAGCAAATAAGCTAGTTGTTAATGTAGAAAAAACTAAATGCATAATAGTTGGTACAAAATACACACTACAGATGAAAGCTAGACTGCTTTGGATGCTAGGTAATACTGAGATAGAACTAGTAGAAGAAGCAAAATTGCTGGGGTAATTGTGGATTCAGGATTATCACGGACCAGTCAAATTAATTATGTCTTGAAAAAATATGGAAGAAGTATGAGCACAATCAAATATTGTAAATGTATTCCTTGGTGGTTTATTAAAAACTTAGTTCAATCCTTAGCATCTTCTTCTTCTGGCTCTTGGAGAGTACATATGTTTTTTCTCCTCTCCCTCCCTCCTTATCCCAAGGCTCTTTGTCCTGTCTGTGCACAGCACTTTCTGCATTTTTTCTGGAAACTGGAAATTATTAAAAATGGACCTGGTCAGTTGGTCTCAACGCGAATGACAAAATCTTTTCAACGATGAGAACGAGAGAAGGGGCTCTCGGATGCCCCTCTGGGACGGAGCCAGCTGGGTATATCATGGACTCCTGGAAACAGTGGAACCTGATCTGCCTCTCTCAACTGTCTGAAGAGGATTCTGATGATGGCTGGATATTCGTCGTTTTGGTGTCGGGATTCCTGCTGTTTGGCCTAAGCGGTTACCTGGTTTACCGGAAAATTAACAAGCTTTCGAGGAATATTGGCTCAATCCCGGAGCTCAGGGATGGATTACACCGTGCTGTGAACGCACAAACTCATATAATTGTTGAGATGAGTCGTAAGCTTGGAACTTTGGGTGAGATTCAGGCTCTGGCACAGAAGGTGGATTCCATCAAGGAGCGAATTGATGGATCAGCACAGATTGGGATACATTAATTACGCCATTATTGGATTGAGAGGGGTTGAAGACCAACAGAACACTAAGGCAGAGAGGAAATTATCTCTGTCTGTCCCCAAAATAATTCTTATCTGAATCTGGTGCCATTGGAGCCTGTGAGGCTGAAGTGAGAACTCCCCTCAGAAGAAATGTGGAATGCTGCCGTTGCTATGGAATCTCCCTAACCCAGCCTGGGCGGGACTGTGACCGGTGAAGGCCGTGGAACCGTCTAGGAGTCAATGTGCTCTCTAACCTTTTATCTCCCTCCCCTGTCCAAATGGAAGTGATGAGCGCTGATCCATGTGGCTGCACACACTGAAGTGAGGAGAGTCCCAACCCTACCTCCCCACCTAGTGGGCACTTAGGTTGTGTAATGTCTGAAGTCTGTTGCATTTCTGTCTGAAGTGTTTTTTTGCATAGCAAAGCTACCCTCTCTGTGGAGGGTAACTCTGAAGTGCCTTTTTTCCCCTCCCCCTGAATCAATCCTTATATAAACCCTCTGATCTCTATTAAGGTAGCGCGACTCGGGTTGTGAATGACCACAGTCGCCAATTCTTGTCACCTGTCTATGCTTATGTATGTATGTCTGATCTCAGAATTGTGTGTACTGAAACTCTAATTTCCCTCTGGGATTAATAAAGTATTTTTGAATTGAATTGTCTCATTTAGATTATGCATCAGTTATTTGGTCTAACACAAGTGAATTTTATTTACATAAGTTACAAGTGCCTCAAAATAAAGCTGCAAAAATTGTTCTGGGTTAGCCTAGTGAACTAGACCAAATTCTAGCTTTGCAAAGTTTGGTCTAGGAATGCTCCACTGGAACCTCTGCAGCCCCAGCAGCATTCTGGCTGGCCAATCACAGCTCTCTAGAGGGGTTTCAAACACAAAAAGAGCTGTGATTGGTCCATAATGGTGGGCCAATCATAGTGCTCTATCTGCTTAGTGAACAAATCACAGAGCTTTATCCGCTTTGTGGGCCAATCAGGGCACTCTATATGCCTGGTGGGTGGGATGATGCAGCAGAGTGAAACAAGAGTATGTCACATTCTTTGTCCAGTGGAATGCGGAGATCATTTGAAAGACAACGGTAGAACCCGCCCCACAACTGAGAGCTGTCAATGGAGCGTTGCCAGACTAAATTATACATTTATTTAGTCTGGCTTGCCAGGCTCGTCTGTTGTTGTTCAATGAGCAGAAACTACTCTGGATACCCCGCCTCTCCATCTCCTGATGAGTCACTGGCAACAGACAGCTACAGCTTATAAGCATGTGTTGAGGGTCTGCCCCCCATGAGGAATTGCTACGCAGTAATTTTCTCCAAAAGACTGTGCCAAAATTGCTCTGAAGCCCAGAGGAAAACTTTCTCTTTTGTTCCAGTTTTGCTGGTGTGAAGAGATACGCTCACCTTTTGCCTTCGGACGCATGGGCGCCGGCCGAGCTGTTTGAAATCAATGGAGAACGCCATTTAAGCCGGTTGAACGACGAGGGACGTCTGGTTCGATCAGAGAAGAGTTTGATTTTATTTTAATTTTTCTTTCTCTCCGATTATCATAGTCATAACAAGCGGTCATAGCGCGAGACCGTTTCAAAATACCAACGGCTTTTCCTCTATCTCCGGACCAAAAACGCCACCCGGATTATCGTGAAGTAAGGTCGTTTCTTCTATTTATATCTAAGTTCTAAGCTGTGGCCACAGCATAAAACAGATCATTAGATATTGCCTGGGAGTGACCTTTTGTGTGTCTCTTGATTTATTGTTTTCCTGAGCCTTGTGAAGCGGTTGAAGTGTTAAGTTTTACTGTGAAATTGAGTTAAAGGTAGAAGCTAAACTTTTTCTTTGTATTAGAGCTGAAGAGACAGTTCCCAGTCACATCCCACCCCTCCCCTATCGGTTCTCAGTGTGGGGGCAGAAGAAATCACACACACACACACACACACACACACACACACACACACACACACACACACACACACACACACACACACACACACACACACACACACACACACACGCTGAAAGCTGATCTCTGCTCAACTAATTCCACAGAGCTGATCTGGTGGTCAGCAGAACAAAGAACCTCATCATACACACATACACACACACACACCTTGAACACCATTTTGATTACCCCACCTCAGATTATTTCACATATATGATATTTCTCATTATTTCATTGTTGGTTATTCAGTTAATAAATGTTATTCAATTCAGTTTGGTCTCAAGCGACTTTGTGTGTTGGCTGAAAATCTCTGCTCCTAAACGGATTTTACGAACTTCAGACAGACTAACCAGAGGTTTCATTTTACCCTATTAATGGGGTGGTGCCCCGTAGACCTCTCTGATATCCAAATTAAATAAATCGATAAATATTATCATATTTACGAATTTATTGAAGAATCCAAAAAGTAAGTAAAAGCTTACAAATTATTCGTTGACCTAATAACCCCAACACATGACTCTCCCATATTCCAGTTAGAACTGACAAAGCTCCTCGGATGAGAAGCGAAGCGTCTTCAAGAAACCAAAGAAGTCCAGTTACCTTCTTTTGAACCCTTTTTGGACCTTATAAATGTTAAAGCCTTTCCAGCCAAAACCTCTAGGTGTCGCTGTAACACATCTTTTCTGTTTGTTTTTCCCTACAGTACGTGGCATTTGGCTCACTCTTCTTCATCCTCCTTTCCATCTCCACATTCTGCTTGGAGACCCACGAGGCCTTCAACACCATCTACAACAAAACTGAGACTATCACAGTCGACAATGTAACACGTGATGAGGTGAGGCTTATCTTTCGTGAAATTCACTGTGTGAGTCGAGTTTAATCAGCAAAAGTGGTCCAGGCCACATGTGTTTACATCATTACATATTCGTGTATCAATGCTACAAGGGAGAAATACAACCAAAATATTAACACATCAAGCAAAATGACCTCAACCGGGTTGGCTGCTGCAGACCAGGTACAGGTGTGGTCAGGAGTCTGTAGTCTCCACGGGCATGATTGCTCGGTCAGTCAGAGGCTTTACCTGGGTGATCTGCTCTTTTACCTTGCTGTAACTATGACTCAGGATACTTCATCACAATTTTTAAAGGTGAGTTCAAGAGTTGATGTTTTTCTGTGTTATCTGTTTAAAATTATGCACAGGCTTGTGTGTATGCACACACTCACCTGGTGCTAATGGTTCTGTCTGGGGTGATTAACCACCTGTTAGTGGTCCTGACCGACTGCAGCTGCTGGTTTCATTTTACAGCAGAAAAATCAAGTACAATGGAATCAATACTGGGGTGAAGATCTAATGAGGAGAATGAAATTATTTATACTAGTTCCCACTGTACCGGGGTGTTTACTTAGTGAAGTGCCTTGAGACAACTTCTGTCGTGATTTGGTGCTGTACAAATAAATTGAATTAAACTGAATTAGTTGCAAAGTGGATACAAGTGAGGTATTCTAATTTGTCAATCTTCTCAACGTCTGAAGACAGACTGCCCTCCTAAGACAGGGGTCTGCAGCCTGTGGAGCCACACGTGGCTTGTTGGACCCTCTACAATGGTTTTTAAAATCTTGTGCTTGAACTGACTTTTATGTCTCTGTAGAACAACAGTAGTAAAGAAAGACGCTCCTGCTCAAAGAGAGACCCCTTCTACTAAAATTTTGCAGCAGTCCACTGATGAGAGAAATGAAAATGCATTGGCACTTAAGTTTAAAAAACAGTTTAGGTCCCATCAGTAGTCACACACACTGATGTGTGTTCGAAATTTGTTCTCCACATTTGAGCCATCCCTGTGAGGAGTAAGCTGCAGACACAGCCACACTCGGGAACCATTTGGTGGTTTAACCCCCCAATCCAACCCCTTAAAGTAGCTTTCCGGAGTTTTCTACTTTCGGAAATTATGTATGGTTTTTCAGAAATCTGTAAAAGTGATGATCTCATCATGAACTGCGATAAAATGTAAGCAATACGTCTTTTTTTTTTTTTTTTGCTAAGCACGCCCCCTGCCCCGCAGAGCTCCGTGCAATAGGAAACTCAGCGCCGACCAGAACTAACCAATAGTGTTAAACTAATACTTGGATGCTTCAAATTTGGCACACTCTAGAGTTGTAGAGTTGTAGAGTTGATGACCTTTTCACGGACAAGTAAGTCTCTAAAATATAAATATATGATATACAACATGACATGAGAATAATACTCGTAAAACAACGTGTCTTAGCTCCGTTTGTCGGCTACAGAATTACATTTATAAACAAAAACGTGAAGTCGCCATCTTAAAAAAACAGCGACAGACTTTGTGTGTGATATGCTTGTCAGCCACTAGATGGTGCCATTGGATAAGAGAAATACTCTGGAAAGAGACTTTAATGCTGTGTCATGTTGGGAGGCATTGAGTCCCAGTTTTTCAGTCTTTGGTGTGACCTGACCAGGCATTGATCCCTGATCTCGCAGTCTCAGGGCAGACACTCTACCACTAGGTCACTGAGCTGATCAGTCTCTGGTGTCAGGTCTTTGTCTCTCTTTGGATGACGGGGATGTACAGTAAAGCTTCATTTATACTTCTCTGTCAGCTGTAACAAGATGTAATTGGTTACTTTTATTAAATGATCCACACAATGTGATATTCCATATAAATATGAATTATCAATATTATTGATCTTTTGAAATTTGATCTAAGATGAAACCAGATCTTTTTGGTAGTCCAGGGGAATCACACCTTCGTAATAATTTGAGACAGAGGCAAGAATGTAGTTTATAACAAACAATTTATTACTATAGTTCTACTGCTAATGATGACACAGAAGAAGTTATGAAGAATGGTGGTTGAAACGAGATAACTGAGACAATAAATGTTATGTAAGCTTAGATGTTGTGTAGCAAAACCTAATTAAGTGTCTTAGTGATGTCTGGGTTGTAAAATGAGTCTTACTGTATGGTTTAACAAACTATCAGTTAATAAAACCATCCCACGCCAACTT